GAGAAAAGAAGACTTGGACAATTTGACATTTAAAGGACAAACGGACTAAAGAAAAGAGAGCGCAGACTTCTTGACAAGTTTGGATGCTGGAACAAGAGTAAGAGATAAAATAAAGTGACAAATATTGCCTACAGCTATAAAGGATAGAATGTTGTGGAGTGCTATTATCACCCACATACTGAAGAAACACGACACATTAAAGAAGAATTTAATGTTTAATTAGCTCGAACAGCTATGAAAACATACATCAGAAAATATAAATTATTGGTTTCTTTAGCAAAAATCAAAGATTGGTCCTCACATGCAACAAATCGACTGATACACGAATATACCTGGTAATTTTTTCTTTCCGATACTGAACAATAATATCGGAAGCCGTTTCTTATTTTGTGTTTATTTTCCAAGTCTCGTTTTGTTTCGCATCAAACTCAGGAATTTCCACATATCTAAATAGAATTGTGTGTTTCCAAATGCTTCCGTTTTGACTAACAAGGAACCGACAATATTTTTTTGGCTTAAGAACTTTTGTGTTCGTTATTTGAGAAATAATGAAGACAAAAGTTCCTGAACCAAAAATAACCGTGAGCCTTTTACGTAAACCTCGTCAGAGTTAGATGAATATAATCATAAGCCCCCAGGCCATCACCGGTTAATGACTGGAAAACGGGAGGCCGGAAGATCTCCAAAAGAGCAAAAGAAAACAAGGAACCAACGACAAAACTTTAATTTACACTATTACTTAAATCTTTTCAGAGAAACGCGAACCAACAACGCGGTCTTTGATAAAACAGTGCATTTCCACAGACCCGAGGGCAACAATAAACCTTTTTGCTCTTCAAGCGTGATTCCTGGTCTTCGTTGTTGTGGATATGGTAATTCGATTTGTACAATGTACGGATGAAGTCAGCAAAATATTGCAAGAGATTTCTGTAAAGAATTCTTTGAAAAGACTTTAAAGGATTTTACCGTTTTTGTTTATTTACTTTAATTTCGTTGGCAACAATCAGTTTAGAATAAATCAAAGAACAGGGGGTGGATTTTGGCTAAGAAGTTTTTATTGAAAAAATGTTTTCATCGTATCAGTACAGTGTCTTGTTAACTAGAAAGGATTTTAAAATATGTCTTTTTTATCTTTAGCGCAGTGTTTAACTTGATTTATTTATTGTATACTTTGCTATGCAATTGGTGTTTTGTTTAAGGTGTGTGCTTTTGTTATCTATTTGTCTATCAATCAATGTGTCACCCTCTGTTCAAAATAGGTTTCTTGAATTCTCTCTGATTTTATTTGTGTTGCGTAGATTTCTATGTTGGTAAGAATGTGTTGGGTTATTTCTTTGCATATTTTTGTTGAAATATATATATATATATATATATATATATATTGAAATATAACTTAATTGCTTTTATTACCCTTTGAAAATATTTTATCCAAACATAGGGTTATATGTAGATATATGTTGGCTGGTATATGTATATACATGTATGTAGGTATCTATGCGTACGTACGTGTAGCTGACTGCACGGCTAGAGATGTTCTTAACGTATACGTATGCATCAGTGTACGCATGTATATTCAAATTCCCTCTAAATCTTTAAGATACTTCCCTTAATTTTTAGGTTCTGATATATGGATAAATTTAATACACAATTCTGAAGTATCTCTCTTTCATCTCAATAAGGTTATCTCTTAATATTTTATATAAATTAGTTTCTTTTTTTCATTTTTTCATTAATTTATGTGGATTCCATTTGAATCAAATTTTAGCCGTGCGACCATTGAGTTGTAGGTCAGTTTATCGGGTTCCGTTCTCTCAGCACCCCCGCCCACTCCTACCTCTATAATATAATATACCACATTAATTCCTGTAACTATGCTTTAAATTGTCATCTCTCTCTCTCTCTCTCTCTCTCTCTCTCTCTCTCTCTCTCCTTCCCCAAATAACCAGTCCCCTTCAACAAACTGACAGTATAAACACTTTTCAATTTAAAATTCACAGGTGAAAATGGTCATTAACTAATAGCATCTTAATTCCAATTGTACGAAAAATGTTGCTCTGTTTAATGAAAATAAACATTGAGCGTTCTTTGTGAGTCATTTACTATTTAATATTTCAAATTCTGTACTGTGTTAATAGGACACGCTTGGATTATAACAACGGGTTACTAGCCTGTACATTGAAATATATATATATGTGTGTGTGTGTGTGTGTATCGATATATATATATATATATATATATATATATATTATATATATATATATATATATATATTATATATATATATATATCAACACACACACACACACACATATATCTATTGTCTTCCTAATTACTCTTCTAATGTCTCGCTCATTAATAATCTTTTTCTTTTCATTAGTCTCTTACATACTTTTATCTATATATTTTAAAGTTATTTTAAACCTCTTTTTTGCATCTTTTAACTTTAAATTAATATTTCATCCTTCATATAACCCACAAATTAATGTCATAAGATTTATATTCGGGTTTAATTTCATAAAACTTCTTCCCTTTAAGACAAATACCTTCCACCTTCCCCTGCCCCATGTCTCGTGCCTTTCGTCTGACTGAAACATTGAAATGGATAAATTATTAGTTTATCGGCTGTTTTTTTTTTCTTTAACAGTTAAATTTCTATTTCTGACACGAACTTGATTCACACCGGGTTTGATAAAACAGACGACCGATATCTTTGTCTTCCAAAACGGGTTACTCTCTGTATGAGGTGCTTTGGGATTTTATTGTTTATTAATTATATTACTCTGTAATAATAAATACATTGTGCTCTTTTTGTGGATCAGTTTTAATATTACTAGGATCCATTTGGATTATATACCAACGGATTTATTATCTTTATTACATATATATATATATATATGTGTGTGTGTGTGTGTGTGTGTGTGTGTGTGTGTAGCGATAGAGTAGGAGAAGTTTGCGATGTTTCGTCTATAAGGAAGATGTGGTAAAGCGGATTTAATTTGTCAATCACAAAGACGCGGAGATGCAATTAATTGTTCAATGTGTTTATATATATATCTATATCTCTCTATATATATATATTTGTGTGTGTGTGTTTTGTATGTGAGTGTGTACTGATTTCGTTTGATTATAGGCTAGCATCTTAACACGCTACTGTGATACAATAAGCGCCTATGTACATTGGACAATTTAATAAATTGCGTATCCGCATACGTTCTTTATAACAGATACTTCGCTGATTCCTTCTTTCCAAATACAATTTTTCAAATACATATACACATATATATTTTTTGATATATATATTTTATATATCAAAACAGTATTTGGAAAATTGTATGACAAATTAGAAAAACTTACAACACGTTTCGTCAGATGATTCCCTGAATGTCGAAACGCATCACAAGTAATCTTTTTCCACTTTGTCATACAATTTTACATACACACACACACACACACACACACACACACATATATATATATATATATATATATATATATATATATTAATTAGATATGAATGAATGCATACGTATTTACATTTTTTAGGAATACATATTGATGTATAGATAAATATTCGAATTAAATTTTGTGTACATTTTTTGTGTAAATCTGGATGCGTATATATATATATATATATATATATATATATATATATATATATAGGTAAATACATATGCATTCATTGATATACAAAATATTGCACATTGAGCGCTGTTGTTTATAAAAGAGTTCTCGATGTATAATAACAGGTTTAGAATTTATAGTAATAAGACATATACATTTTTTCTTCACTCTGAGTTTAATGCTCAACGCAATCATCATATATATATATATATATATATATATATATATATTACTGCAAACGTTATTTTTGTGGAAACCCGGATTTGAGTAGGTGCTCCGCTTATTTTCAAATGTATTTATTTCGCCTACCGTCCTGCTTACACGAGAGAACTTATTGTAAATGTGCCCTCCAATATGATACAAAGCTGCGTTCCCTTTTAGAGGAGGAATCGCCATTAGATCTGGCTGCTTTTAACGTTCGGGCTACGAAGAGCTTCACAGTCAAGCAAAGGCAAAATAGAACTTTGCTTGACTGTGAAGCTCTTTTGAGTTATATATTTGACGAAAAAAGCTGGAAAGTTATTTATATCAATGTGTAAATAACTTTCGTTGATCAGAGATTGGCGACTGAACTCTCTTCTGATCTTCTACAAATTAGACATGGAGTAAAATTGTCTGCTTACATTTAATACCTCCAAGATCAAGCTAGTTACATCCAATCAACACCGATCTAACCCCGAACTACCACCAATCTGGATGAACGGATGTTTTCTACTGGGAGCACCGTGTCTTGAAAGACTGTTGGTCCCCAAACTTACACCCGACCCCAAGTGGAACTGGTACATAAGATCCTTTGCTAAGGATGCACGTAAAATATATGGAGAAAGAAGGAAATAAATAAGTAAAAACGATTACAAAATGAAGAAAATAAATAGAAAGATCATAGTAACACGCTTAAATTCATGTATTCGGGGCACCAAGGAAAAAAGCTCATCAAATCCGTTGCCATGAAAAGATGGAGAGAAGCCACGTCATCTCAGTGAGAAAGAAAGAAAGAAAGAAAGAAAGAAAGAAAGAAAGAAAGAAAGAAAGAGAGAGACGATTAACGTACTGAATGAAAATCTCCGTTAGATCATTTTAGTGTATAAATCGATCGTCTTCATTTCAAAGGAAGGAACTGATACAACTATCACTAGCAAAGCAGTTTTTTTAATCGTCCAGTTAAGAAATTAAGGAAAAGCTTATAGTTGTTATAGCTGTGTTAGGGCTGGTGGATATTCTGGTATTGATTGTGATAACTGTCTCGAAGTATAGACAATCGCTTTTGTGAGAAGTGCGATTGTCTTCATACCAAATCAGCGTGTGACCCATCCACAGATAGTAAAGGTGAGGCGGCTAAAAATTTGAGACGCCGTAACTCAAATTCAGAATTGCAAAATATGGATCCGTATTCATCGGGCAATACCGCCACCTCCTCCGTCTTTCCGCCATTTATACAGATTCAAACCACAACAAAAGTATGTTAAATTTGATATACTGAGTGGGTGAAAAGAAATTCTCTATTTTAAATTATTAACTTTATTGTTCGTTTCTTACTCCTTTAAAACAAGTCGTAAAGTGTCGTAGATTACTTTCACTGTACCTTTTGAACATTTTCTTCCTATCTGGATGTTGAAGAACAACTGCTTCTGTGGGTATCTACCACAGATCCCATACAGATCAGCTGATAGTTTTGGTACCTACTGAAGCTCGAGGTCCATGAACATTGCACTATCATCTCTGCACTTGTATCACAGACTAAAATACTTCGTAACGGGATGCTAGCTGAGCACACACATGTAGTGTCAGACGTTGTGTCTCTGTACATGACATCATACGTGCATCTGGGATTGCAAGCGTAAGAACGAGTATGTTACATAGGCACTTGTATAAACAGCCACCAAAAGGAATATAGGACAGTCTTTCACATACCGCAGTAGGAGAATGTAAGGTCCACGTATCGGGCGTGTGGTGTCCAGAACTGCTCGCATACCACAGACTGGTTGCGAATAACTGAGGGATATTAGAGTAAATAAAATGGTATGAAAGGAATAAGTCTCATGTTCTTAATCATTAGAAAACTATCCTTCAATAAAATAACTATTGTTTGAAATCCCACATTTTAAATGCTCATAAACCGTTGGCGTATTTGTTTCATTTGATTTAGTTTTTTTAAAAAAAAAAACACTTTCCAAACCTAATCATAAATTTATTTCTTAAAATACACTTAAATTTCTTTTCTCAAATACGCTCCCTAATTTAGGTCTGAATTTCTGGGATGAGTGAATATCATTATCTACACTATTTATATCTCCTTAGTAAGCTTAGCATAGAAATAAATACAACATGGGAACCGCTGTCAAAGAAAAAAGGGAAATGTTAAGAAAACTTCAACCGCAGCATCAGTAGCTATCAAAACATGAGCAGTACATCAGTCAAAATACGACAGCCAGCAGAAGCAGTTGCAGCTTAATCAGCAGCCACGGTTAAGCTTAAGGCTCTAAGTATAATCCTATGACAATGTGGGTAAAAACGTTGGTTTGTGAATTTGGTGACATAGTAATCCCTAGGTCGGGTAGTGTGCACTTGCACTCAAAATGACTAAAATGAAGAAAATAAAGAAAAGATGAACGGAGAAGAAGAAAGAAAGAAAGAAAGAAAGAAAGAGACGAAGATTTGAAAATAAACGTAACAAGACGAGTAATAACCAAACAATACTAAATAAAATAAGAACTAAACGATATCCCTAGACATGAGCAGTGAAACCCCTGTGGATTAAATAAAGGGTTCCGTTCGGAATCCCCTTCAGATCGATATACACCTGAGAAAGGACGGATGGCACAACGGCCGAAACGTTGTGATAAAAACAACAAAGATGAGAACAATAATCCGAATATAAATATTGTAACGAACACTCCTCATTGTTGAGTTGAAAGCTTGGGACAACACAACATGGATTTTGGCCAATTTATCTACAACCAATAACCATATTTGCGAAAGGATATTCGCAAATTAGAAAAAAAAAAGATCATTAAATATGATAGACATAAAATGCCTGTTGTTTAACTATACGTGTGTTATATCTTCATTCCATTGAATGACGATAAAAACAATCAAGAAATATAATGTCGCTTGGAGATGACGTAGTCTTGCTGAAATCGGTAGTAAGTGGATACGCTATCTCTCTCTCTCTCTCTCTCTCTCTCTCTCTTACTCTGCTGACGATTCTAGGAATCAGGCTATATATATTTGGACGAGTTCATGTCATATTCTAGAGAGGTGTGATCATCTCCATAACAACATGCTTGAAAGAAATATCTAGAGGTAATAAACGTAGCTGCTAATGTTTCGTTATTTGCGGAGGCCAAATTGAGAGAATCGAAACAGGAATATGTTGTTACCTTTTTTCCCTAATTATATGTGACTTCCTACCTTGATTATTTGTCTTCGAGACCTCGGTTTTTTATTAAAGGTCAAAACCAGACATGTGAAACCAATAGGAAATGCGCAACTATTTCAGTTACGTGGTAGGACTACGTCTATTGATACTCATATCCATATTAATAAGCTTAACTCCTACGCCACAAAAGGTCGAAACATTATGTTCTATGCTATTCTACTAAATACGGAGGGAAAGCTGATCTAGCAAATCAGCATTCGAAATGCCGGATTATTTTACCTAAGATCGAACAGTGACTTCTGGTACCGCTAGGAAAAACGTAACTATTTTAATCACGAGATATATCAAACGATATATCAACTTCTATCTAACTGCTGATATGCATCTTGTGTGTATGTGTATGTTTGTGTGTGCACGTGTATGCATGAAGGCGCTCACGTGTGCGCGTGCCTACAAATATGAAAGAAGATTCATCAATTGATGCCTTTTTTATCGCTTTTAAGCTCTTTTTATTCCTTTTTAAGCTCAGTTCCACGAGAAGTTGATTGGCTTGTCACGTGGCTAAACAGAGAAATGTGCGAGATTTAAGGACAACAGTAATCCATATCCACATAATGAACTTTTTTTGCTGCCGTATCTATTGTCAGCTTTGATAAAATGTTCATCTGCCACACACATACCCACTTGCATATAATTAGATTATATTTTCTGTTATTACATATACACAGAATATATGAGTAAAAAGGTTAGATTTTCAATAAGACAGCGTTGTGACACTTATCATCCCCATTGTTTGAGGGACACTCTTTTTTTAACAATCAGTACAAAACAATTTTGTACAATCAGTCAATCTTTATAAAAAAAAAAAAAAAACTTCAAAAACTAGACAAATCTACTCAGGCAAACAAACAATCTACGATTGCCCAGAGTGTCAGGTGTGTGTCTCCGTGGTATGGGATATATTTGCGCATAAGTTGGCTCTTTCACCGATAATGAATCTTATTGCAGTATGCATCATATGGATGTCATGCATAAAACGAAACCTGAACAGAAATATCTAAACTGTATACAACTGCTTTCTAAGATCATTAGTTAAAATAGCTTTGAGTGGATGAAGCTTGTGGGTCTTGTCGAAGATCATTCTTTTTCGAATATTGTAAACTGGCGCTACAGAATCACAAAGAACTGTAACAGATAAGAGAACCACATTGCTTGAGGACTACCAACAGCTGTAACTACTGAAATGGATATCACCTATAACTCGAAGAGAAAATAATGACATAAATGAAATGTTGCTATTTTAAAAAATGGTTCAAAAGGAAACCCCCCATCATTACTGGAAAGAAGTGATTATTTTAAGAGGAAAATTTTATAAATCATGTTGTGCATTGAACACTGTTGCCATATCTAGTGCTTCTGCTGTACATCGCGAAATTCTTGACACAATCCAAAGAAGGGTCTGTAATGCATTTGATCCTGAGCAGGATCTTGACTTCTTTCTTTCTTTCTTTCTTTCTTTATTTCTTTCTTTCTTTCTTTCTTTCTTTCTTTCTTTCTTTCTATTGTCCATTCTATCTATTTTCTTTGTTGTAGTATCCACCATTACGTAATTATTTTATATTTCTTTCTTTCTTTCTTTCTTTCTTTCTTTCTTTCTTTCTTTCTTTCTTTCTTTCTTTCGTTCTATTTTTTGTTGTTGTAGTATCCACCATTAGTTAATCATTTGATATTTCTTTCTTTCTTTCTTTCTTTCTTTCTTTCTTTTGTCCATTCTATTTTCTTTGTTGTAGTATCCACCATTACGTAATCATTTTATATTTCTTTCTTTCTTTCTATTTTTTTTGTTGTAGTATCCACCATTACTTAATCATTTGATATTTCTTTCTTTCCTTCTTTCTTTCTTTCTTTCTTTTGTCCATTCTATCTATTTTCTTTGTTGTAGTATCCACCATTACTTAATCATTTTATATTTCTTTCTTTCTTTCTTTCTTTCTTTCTTTCTTTCTTTCTTTCTTTCTTTCTTTCTATCTATTTTTGTTGTTGTGGTATCCACCATTACTTAATCATTTTATATTTCTTTCTTTCTTTCTTTCTTTCTTTCTTTCTTTCTTTCTTTCTTTCTTTCTTTCTTTCTTTCTTTCTTTCTATCTATTTTTGTTGTTGTGGTATCCACCATTACGTAATCATTTGATCTTTCTTTCTTTCTTTCTTTCTTTCTTTCTTTCTTTCTTTTTCTTTCTTTCTTTCTTTCTTCTCCGCTTCTTTTTCTTTATTTTCGTAGTTTTAGTCTTTTCATATTACTTTTTTCTTTCTTTTTTCTTTTTTTCTTTCTGTCACTTTCTCACTGACATGATGTGGCTTCTCTCTGTCTTTCATGACAACTATTCTGATGAGGTTTTTTTTCCCTGCTGCCCCCGACTATATGAATTTATGCGTGCTACTAGGTTGGCAACTCAGTCTTAATATTTTACTATTTAACTAGCTGGATGCAACTTCTACTCGAATAGTTTATTTTCTCCCCCCCCCCCTCCCCACCAGTGGAACTACCTGCCGATTTCTTGCTTTCCTGATAACTATAACTATAAAACATTTACCTGCAGCCTTAATCTCCATCTTGTTTTCCTAAACACTGTTCCGTTTTTTCCTTTCTTTAATCCTCCCCATTTTTATTTTCTTTCACTTTCACTCCCTGTAACCCCTTACATCATAGTGGCACCATCGTCTTGCTTGGGGTGAAACGATTTTAAAAAATGCCGAATGCTTCCTTATAAGGAAACGGCTAAAATTACCATAACTATTACAACAATTTCTTTTCATCATAAAAGTCGTTTCTTATTTCATAATGATTTATTGTCTTGATTTAAGGTGTATTCTCTTGAGTGAACTAAATAACTGGTGGTTCTATTTGTCTATAGGGATAGGTCACTGGTACTATTATGCTCTTAATTGATTAACAGTAAGTTACAGTTTCTATCATATCTGGAAAATTTATTTTTCATTCGATTTAAAAACTTTCAGAAAATAATAACATAATGAAGATATTTACGTTTCCCACTACCTGAAATAAAAGGCAAGGAAGGAAGCCACTATTAATACTAGAAGGAGCAATAACAGCTACAGTACTTGAGAAACCTATTATTTCGAAAATTGTTTTAAGAGAAAGATTTTATAAATTTAAACGAGCAATCGTACTGAAAACTCGTCCAACAAATGCCGAATGTTCCCTTATAAGGAAACGGTTAATATTACTGTTACAATCACTGTTTAATGCTCAGGTACAACCAGTGTATGGTATGAGGATTAATATATACCAAGATGGTCGAAAACTTTGAAAATCATTCGTCTGCGCAGTATGTATCCAGGTCAGTGTCGTAATCGAGTTAAATAAATTGTATTTTCTCTCAATGTATTTTTGTAACTGAATAATAACGTTATGAATATATTTCCATAGTCTATTTTATTTACAGTTTTTAGTTATATATATATATATATATATATATATATATATATATATATATATATATATATATATATATATATGTGTGGGGTATATATATATATATATATATATATATATATATATATATAATTATTTATTTAAAATATGATTCCATCGCTACATAAGAGTTCTCATGTTTTAAAACAAGAGCCGAAAACTTCAATATAATTATTTTAATTAAATTACCAAGCTCTGCTCTATCTTCAAATGAGAACTCTTATATATTTAGGCTCTACTTTTGCATCGAGCACTTTTTTTTAAAAATAATAACAGAAATACTAAAGAACTTTGAATTATTTACCTAACGAGTTATTTCCTGTTTTCTATATATTTTCACACATACGCCCATATATATATATATATATGTAAGTTTATTTTCGGAAAACACAATTACGTTGTTCACACAAAAGACTATCACTTGAAAGCAGAATTTGTTCTGATCGTTGGACACTATAGCACTATCCGACCGTCATCCTGTAACTCATACACCGAGATGTCTGGTTAAAAGTATGTGTCCCCGTTGTCCTGCTGCAACGATCCGTGTTGACGATCCTGGGGACGATATTTGCTCTGTTTTGTATTGTGGACGCCAAGCAGTCTGCTGCTGCTATAACCTTGCATTGATCACAGTGAGCGTCTTTATTACTCTGCTGTACAGAGACTTGGCTACAGATATAACTCAGTGTATTTGACTAATGTTCAAGTACCAACAGCTTGTCATATTCATCGTGTGTAGTGTTTCATCAAATGAGCCTCCAGCCTTTTTCTCCTGGTGCCCCGATTACATTAATTTAAGCGTACTACTAGATTGACATCTAAATCTCATCGGTTTAACGTTGAAATAGCTAAATACAACCACCACTTCTACTCCAACTGTTTCTTTTCTCGCACTCCCAGCTTGTGGAAATCCCATCCGTTTACTTGCTTCCCTGATAATTATACTCTTCAATAATTTAAATGCAACGTCAATCACCATCTTCTATCTTCTTGAATCCCGTTCATTTTTGTCCTTTCCTTAATCCTACTTATGCTCATTCTTTTCTCTTACTTTCACACACTGCCACCCCCTGCGGCATTTCCAACTTGTTTGAGGTGAAATGATTAAAGGAAAATGAACAAAAGGGGCGCATGAGAATTTCCATGACATGACACATATGCTAGGGGTTTTTCGAACCTTATTGCAGCATTCATCACTGTTTAAAGCTCAAATAGAGGCAGCGCACTGATGCGAGTGTTACTTCTACGTCACAAGATGGCCGAAAACTTGACATTTTTATCAGAATAACAACTATAACTTAATAGAAACTAGGTAAAAAATGGCGACGTCTTTTAAGCTATTTCATTTTTTGTTACTGCATCGGAAAAACTAGATAAAAATCTTATGAATTTTCATATGAGTAATGAATTTTTTCAGAAACGACGAGGTTAAAACAAAAATTATCTGCAATTTCGCCATATCTTTAGTTTTGTCATATGCGTGCTTACAGTTAGTACTATTGTACTTACGTAATCGAAGTTTGAACTAGACCGCTCCAGTTTTCTTGCTGCTGTTACATGGCCACGACGCTAGCAGTGTGCACCAAGTAGGAACAAAGAGCAATATTCAGAGGACATGCTACCACATCGATGATAAATCGCCGGTTCGCTATTAACATCCCTCGATCTTGCAGAATCTTTTTGTCAGTGATGGAAGTTGACGGGCGTCATGCTCCTTCATGTGTCACACTTGACCGGTCACTTTTAAACTTCTTGATCCAGTCATACACACTTCTACGCGGTACTGCACTGACGCCGTATTATATTAAATGGCTCCGATGAATTTAAACTCTTGACACACCTTCCGACCAGAGAACTTCTTTCTTCTTCCTTGGTGCACACTGTCAACAGAGCGGTCATGTTTAAACTGAAATAGCTGTAAGAAAACTGACGCGATCAAGATCAAACTTTTATCACGTGACCACAATAGTATCTAACTATAAGCACGCATGACCAGAAGACAGTGTGACATATTCTGAGGATATGTTATGGCGAAAGTGTGGATAATTTTTGACTTACGCCAGTATATGAAACGTTTTCATCAACTTAAGAAAGCCATTATCAGCGGCTTTTTTAAAAATCGTTTCACCCCAAGCAAAGCGATAAAGCCACTAAGTCACAAAGGGTTACAAAGCGTGAAAGAATATGAAAAACATATTATTAACCAGAGAGAGGACAATAAAAGAACAGGAATTAAGGAGACAGATGATGACGATTGGCATTGCATTTAAATTTTTGAAGATCAAAGCTGACTGGGAAGCAAAAATAAGTGGAAGAGAGATCCACAAGCGAGAAGTGCGAGTGAAGAAACTATTAGCATAAAACTTACGGTTGCGTCTAGCAATTTCAAATATAAAATGATAATGCTTAACTGCCAATCTAGTACTGCACTTAAATTCGTAGAGTCTAGGTTTCAAAGAGGGAAGCTCATCAAACAATTATCATGAAAATATTTATCAAATAAAGTCACAGGAAGCTACGTTACGGCAGTGGGAAAGTTACTGATGCCGAGATGCCAGGTCAGGACCAATAACATTGAAGATTCTTCGTGAATCTCTTAATAAATAATCGAAGCACCATACCAGATGTGACAGCAACAGTCAATAAAATACATTCGGCTTGTAAAATTAAGGCGTTAACTATTATCATTCTGATAAAAACTGAATTTCTTTGGAGTTTAAGCGCAAGAAAAAAGTTTCAATGAACAAACTTCTTTCTTTTCTTCTCGTAAATCTTCAAATTTGGCGAATTGTTTAAGAAAATGTTTATCGAGAAATTAATATCTAAAACAAAAAAATATTATAAAAGAGTTTAGATAAATTGCGTGTAAATAATCCAAGGGATAACTAATATATTTACAAATATTTAACTTTTCTGTAAATATATAAAACGAAAAATATAGACAAGAATTTTTAAACAGCTTCAAATAGTTTAAATCTTAAGTATTTCTTTTTAAAAATATTATGTTCTGAATGACTGCACCTCATGTCTAAATATTTGTGTTTTATTTTCTTGATTGAATTTAAAGAAGAAAATACTTTCTGGTGCCATAATTAAAAAAAAAATTAAAAGGAAGAAATTAACATTGACGCGCATGCGTCAGTATAGGAAACATTTTTTAAGTAATAAATACATTAAAATATTTTCATTTGATATTTTGAAATTGTTCGGAAATTGTTCGGATTAAAATGCGCATTTTAAAAATAAAAATATAAGAAAATTATATTTTCTCTCTCATTTTCACTAATCCTTCTTACGTAGACATCTTTACATTTTAATCCTTTGTTTCTGTTGTGATTCTACAAAAAGCCCGTTCACCCAACTCTATCATCTTTCGATTCTTTCCTCTTTCTCTATTATGGCAAATTTCTCTTACACATAATCTCTCTGCACTGTGCGTGCATTTATTGTCGGAAATAAATGGTTACAGGCCAACGACAAAGTTCTCCATAAAACTAATTCTGAACCATTTTACTATTGCGAAATATTAAAACCATTTTTACTTGGACGAGGAAAAGAAAGCATAGCAGAGCATAGATAGATACATATGAACGGCACGAAAAAGAAAGAAAGAAAGAAAGAAAGAAAGAAAGAAAGAAAAGACATCGTTTTCCCTATCTTTCAAGGGGATGTACACATTGTTTATTGGGTATCGACTCGGAATGAGAAATCGGAGAGCCGAGTTCGAATTCCGAGTCGAGTTCGTTACATTCATTTATGTGCGAATACTCTCAGGAAAGATATAAATCCATCTCCTCTCCCTCCGGCTATAGGTTGAATAGCAACCAGACTAGAAGCAACTCTGAATACTCATAAAAATCTACTTACTACGAGAACCATAGCAGCATAGCTTAGTGTTGTTAAGAACTGTGACACAATACTCCTCATGAGTCTATGAGCCTTGAGTACCTTCCATATTGAAAGAGATGACCAGTCCACAGCTGGGTGGGAGCACCTGTTAGGGTCCCAGCTATGGGAAAACAGTTAACCCCCAAACTGGGGTCGAAACACTACGAAAGTATAAAAATAGATTTTTTGTAAAAATATCAACAATACATTTTTGAAGAAAAAAATATTTTACCAGCAATATATTTTTGACAAAAAATATTATCAGCATACATTTTTGCCAAAAACATATAACCAGCAATACATTTGACTCTCGGCAAAAAATCCTATTTGCAAAAATACGATAATAAAACCTGATCTACAAACGGATTTCTTACAAAGAAAATATATTCTATTCATAAGATTCTAAAAATCTTATCAGCATTAAAGTTGATATTCCGTAAAACAAAATAAACCCAAACCCAGTCCCGGAAATCAGCCTCGAAACTTTGGCTTTTAAATGGCTACAACAGCTAAACAGGTAACATCCTCAGTCACAAGGCGTAAAACAGATAGATAGATAGATAGATAGATAGATAGATAGATAGATAGATATTGTGCAATCGATGTCTCAACAAGCTACAGTATTCTTCTGATAAGAATTGAAATTAAAGTGAGTTCACAGTTTACATCTCTATAAGGTTTATTCTTCCCGTGATATTTCGCCATATTTCTCTTAGTTTAAACTTTGCTTTTTCGAGCAGTCGTCCAGAATAGGGAGGCCCTGTGTTGATAGAACACACTACGCTACATCAGGATCAGCTAGACCGTTTTGCGTCTATTACATTCTTTCAGTTTTAGTTTAATTACTAATAAATTGATTATTTTTCTCCACTGTACGACATTAGATTCTTTCTTTCTTTTTTTTAACATCTGTCAGATGTCAAAATGTATTTTAAAATTTTATTAATTGAAGCCTTGCGAACCATGAATAATTTGGGTCTGGTATTTAATATGAATATTTAATATGCGTAAAAGACCATAAACTAATGGTCTGAGTTGCTGCGAAGAAAAGCAATTAAAATTAAGATTAAAGAAATACTAGTCTAAAATCAAAATTGGTTTCCAATGCTGTTGATACTATTAAAACTACTATTTCTTTCCATGTGCCGTGTCCCTTTATGTCGTGGACTCGGCACAACTTTCTATCCTTTTTAGTTTCAAGTAGTAATTTTACCATCCCTCAACATACTGTTCCACCATCCATTCGCACATGTTCAACTGCTACCTCTCCCTTTTGCCTTCAATATGCCCTGTGAATGTCAACTTTTCCAAGCCTTCTTTCCTCATTATCTGTTCAAAAATTTTCACCGTTATTTAGGGGACCCTTCTTCGTTTCCAATTTACTTAAGTCTTCCTCGTAATTTACGCGCTCCGTCCATGATTTTTTCAGTATCCTATGATAGAACTACATTTCTGTCGTCTCCAGTCTTCTCTCATTCTGTGAGAAAATTATCCAGCATTCACTGCGATACAGGAGGATTGACATTACAAGGCAGTTTGTCATTCTTTTGTTTATTTCTAACGAATTTTTCCTGTTTCTTTGTATTTCTCTGAGCTTTTGGAATGCATCCCATCTTTTGCCATTCAATTGAACGTTCGAATTTTGGGGTCGTATTTTGGATTTTCAGTTAAAACACTACCCAGATATTCAAACTTCTACATATGCTTGTCCTTGTACTATCAATTTCAAAACAAGTTATATTTAATAGTATATCGATCCATCAAGGAAGAAGCAAGAGTAAATTGAAATGGTTACATCTGATCATTCAATGAGGTTAATGCTCTTATACCTCAGTAAGTAACGTAGGGAAACGTGTATTTACCGAGGTAAAGAGAATTCAAAGAGCTTCTTTGTTTCTGAGATGTTGTTACATCAGAAGATGCTGAAGATGAAAGAAATTCTAATTGATAATGAGAAAAAACTAATCTTTGCAAAAGACATTTTTAGTGATGAACTCTTATGTAATATCGATCTTTTTATGACAAGTGACTGCTGGACAATTTCCTTCTTTAATGGGAACTAAGAGCCTGCATGCAGACAGTGGTGGAATTCAGTTGATACACAAATACACAGTAGATGTAGTAAGACAAGAATGTGTTTTATCATCGGTTTTCTTTAAACTATATAGCAAGACGAGCCTAAGAGAATTAGAACTACCAAGATTTATTATCGGTGGGCATTATCTTAACCTCATAAAATACGCGAATGTCGCTGTGTGGATGGCAGATTCAAAAAGAAATCTGAAAGAACACTTAGATAAGATGGTAAAACAAACAAAAATCTCTTTTATTATGAGATACAATTTAGATGGCTACTTATAAGACAGATTCTAATTTACCAGAATTTTTATGGTTAAGTAGCCTCACGAAAGAAACTACAAGAATTCCTAAAGAAGGTAGTGAGAGAAAGCAATAGGAAAAGGGCTAAACATCAATTGAAAGAAGACAGAATATATAGATGTTAGTAAAAAAGAACAATCCAACATGAAAATTACAAATTGGAGATACCAAAATCAAACAAGTACAACGATTTAAATATCTTAGAAGTGTTTTAACACAAGGCGGAAATCGACAGTGAAATCTGAAGGTTCACTGGAATAGCGAAATATGCCTTCTAAAAGCTAAGCAAAGTATTAAGTCACAGAAAGATTTCGTTAGAAACAAAGAAAAGATTACTAAACTTACGTAATATCAGTCCTCCTATATGCCAGTAGAGGCTGGATAATCTCCTCACAGATGAAGAAGAGGCATGAGGCAACAGAGATGTAGTTCTACAGAAGGATACTGGGAATATTATTAAGGGAACATGTGAATAATGAGGAACTTTTAAGAAAACTTATACTTAGAATGAGAAAGAGACAAGTAAAACTTACTTGGACACATAATAAGGTTATTGGTTGGTTTTGTTTAGCGGCATATCAACATCTATGGATTATTTAATCCCAAACTAAATATTTCCAACACGATTTTATGGCTTCACCTAAATATATACTATCAATAAATATTGTTAGTAATTTTGCTATAAATAACTATTGTTATTTTTCTATAAATATTTATTGGGTTGGTGCATAATTATCAGGCGTTTTGTAGGCGAGTTATTTCTTAATAAAAATTGTTGTTTTGTTTACTTTTTTTAATAGAAATCTTATTTTATTTTCAGGTTATAAAATGCGTGTCGATAATCTTACGCTCCGGAATAATCATTTAAAGATGTTATGTTTGAATTGTTATGTTTCTTTTTTCATAATAAATATTGTTTAAAAACGCCTGATAATTATGCACCAACAAAATATTATTGTTAATTTTATTATAATAAATAGGTATTATTTTTTTAAAAATTATATAAAAATTTATTTTTATACTTTTATTGTGTTGTTTTTGTATGGAGTTTCACGATTTGCCCATAGGGGGACCCTAACGTGCTACTACCCTGGGTCAGAATGGATGCGTGAACAAAAGCAAGACCCTCCCGATCAGAGGCGTTTCTGTCAGATGTAGCTTGCCATTATACCCAGGACGACATAATAAAGAAGGAGGGTTTTGAGAAATTGACACTCACACGACATATTGATAACAAGAGGAATAGAGTGGAATAGTGAGTAAACTATAATATGAGCTTGTGTAAATAAATAGCAGAACAAGGATTGGGAGAAATTCTAAGGAAACAACATTACTCAGAGTTACGAAGTATAGAATGTTGTGGAAAGCTACGATTGACTAAACACAGAATAGACATGGCACATAAAATAAAAACTCATGACGCAGTATATTTTATTATATAAAAGTCTTTTTTATTTCTATAATTATATTCATCTATTTTCATCGAATTCACAGTTTTAAGAATCAAGGTATGCGAAGCTTATTAAATTTTACTCTAGATTACAACGACGAGTTTCCACTGCGTTCTCTTTCTTAACATCCAGTTTCTTTCAAAGAATATATTCTTATATAATTCATATATTCATTAACCTTTAATGACCAGCATCTTTCAAGGTTAACAATGAATGTAACAGCTTTGCTTTTTGTTTGTTCTTTGTTACTTATTGAAAATTGACTTGCTTACCCAAGTGTTCATCGAATTATTCTTTTCATCACCGAATGTGACATGCTTTTAACAATCTTTTTTATCAATCTTTATAGTGAGGGAACAGTAGGCAGGCAGTAGTGGACTAACCAGCACTTTTCCCGGACTAATAATTGTTTCCCCCTTCTCATCCTGAGGCCTACCTAATTCGTCTATCCCTCTTCCCACCTTTCCCTTTCTAGTTATATTCCACCTCTTTCTATCGCTATCACTCTCAATTTTCCTTTCTTCCTCCTCCTCTCTCTCTCTCTCTCTCTCTCTCTCTCTCTCTCTATCTATCTATCTATCTATCTATCTCTTTCGGTCTTAGTAAAGGAACGATTTGATTAAATGGGAATCTCTCATAACTTACTCAAATCGATCATTTCCTAATATTTCCACTTACGGTCAAACCATATTGAAAACGGTTTTCGTATGGTGATTTTCTAAGCGTGGATCAGATGAGGCACAGGGCCGGAAGTATTGAGCACCCAGTGAAAATCAAACTCACTACTAACTCTTAATTGTTCTAGCGAGACATGCCTGCTAACCGTTACACCACATCGACGTGTCTTAAACACTGGTTTTCGTATGATCATCGAAGTTAAGCAGCTTCGAGCCCAGTCATACTCAGATGGGAGACTGCTTACAAGCACTCGATGCTGTAAGCAATCTTCTTATGTTCCGGCTTTACACAACCCACAAAGGATTGATAAACTGTAAAAATCAAATTATGTCACAGACGGTCACTTCCGATTTTACCTTCTTGAAGATTTGTTCCGTAATTTTACAATTCTATCTCTTTCTTTTTTTTCTCTCTCTCTCTCTCTCTATCTCTCCCTCTCTCTCTCTCTCTCTCTCTCTATATATATATATATATATATATATATATATATAGAGAGAGAGAGAGAGAGAGAGAGATAGATAGATAGATAGATAGATAGATAGATAGATAGATATAGATATAGATATATAGTTAAGTTATGAAAAACTTGGTAATCCGTATGGGTAGTCCCAAGGAGGATGAAATCCCGAGAGCTCAGTGTAAATCCAGAGCTAATATTTTAAAGAAAAACAGACTACTTTTAGGTTCCATTATAATAATTTATTTCACCAGAACTCTTTTAAAGGACGCCGTATCATCAGATAACACTTCTAAAAGATGAAATGAAAATTGATGGGTAGTGTAAGTTTTTGTAATTTAACAGAGAGTGTCATAAGGAGTAGTTAGAGAGACATGGTAGAGTTTAAGGAGGGTTTAATTTAATATCTCTCTCAATCATACTTAGTATTGGGGGAGGAGGAATGACCAGACCTATTTAAACGGTTAGCTTAACGGAAGTGATATATTGAAATGGGAGGGGAGAAGAGATAAAAGAAAAAGGGAAAAGGAAAAAGAAAAAAGGGGGAAGTAAAGAGAAAGAGGCTGTAAATGGGTTTTACATATGAAGGGGAGGGGTGGTAAGTTATAGCAATTTATGTAAAAAATAGATTTTAATGTTTGATAGTAATTTAGATGTCTAAAAAAACACGAAGAAATTAATTTGATGCTTGCTAGCAATTTAAATATTTAACTTTTTTACAAATAATTTAGGGATTTAATATAAGTTGAATACTGTATATATTAACACATTTATAGAGAACGCATTAAAAAAGTTTTAAACTATAACAGTTTGTTTATCCGACCAATAGTAGACTTTTAATATTGTAAAAGACAGTTAAGGTAACATCTTTATCAGTTTGAATCTAATTCATGAATGTAATTGGTAATTATTTTTAGATGGGTAATCTTTCTTACTTAAAGTTTAGGTTTCGAATTAAGATGGAGTAATATTTGAAGGTAATATTAAAGATTTTTTCTTTAAAATATATATATATATATATATGTGAAAAGTGAATATAAATATAAATAAATATATATATATGTATAATTATTTATATATTATATGCGCGGTTTGTCTGACGATCGCTAAAGCGTGAAACCCAGGGTCACAAACTCACATCTATATATATATATATATATATATATATATATATCTGTCTATCGATTTTTATTCTCTCTCTGCTTATGTCAAAGATCCTTACCTACTTAACACTCTCGTTGTTCCTTTCACTCTTTTTGCTTTTCACAGAATATTTGCTACTCTGCCTCTCTTTTTCTTTTTTCTTTCTTTTCTTTCCTTTTACTTTCTCTCTTTCTCTGAATAACTCATCCTCCTCTCTTAAAATTCCGTTAACTCTTCCTTGTATACTGCGAAGATTCGCTCCTCTCTCTAATTCTCTTTCTCCTTTTTTCTTTTTTTTTGCTTCTTTCTTTCCCTTAATCTTTTCCGCTCTATTTTAAAAGTCCTCATACTCTCCTACTTGTTACTCTCTCTATCTTCTCTCTTTTTTCCCCCTTTCTCTCTCTTTCTCTTAATCATTCCTTCTCCCTTAAAATTGTCTTTACTCTCCTACGTATAATGCGAAAAGTCGCTACTTCCTCTTCCTCTCTCTTTTTCCAGCGTGTGCCTTCCCCCCCCTCTCTCTCTCTCTCTCTCTCTCTCTCTCTCTCTCTCTCTTAAAATTCTGTTACTTTCCGATCTATAGTACAATTCCTTATTTACAGTGTTCCAACTGCTTTCAGAACTCCCCTATTTTGTTTGGCATTTACACTGTAACCCGGATATAAGAGACCCGGATATAAGAGAAACCCGGATATAAGAGAAACCCGGATATAAGAGAAACCCGGATATAAGAGAGATTTTCTCTGATCCCAAATTAGAGCCCATACTTACCTAAACAAAATAGACCAAACCCGGATATAAGAGAAAGCCGGATATAAGAGAGATTTTCTCTGATCCCAAATTAGAGCCCATACTAACCTAAACAAAATAGACCAAACCCGGATATAAGCGAAACCCGGATATAAGAGAGATTTTATCTGATCCCAAATTAGAGCCCATACTTACCTAAACAAAATAGACCAAACCCGGATATAAGAGAAACCCGGATATAAGAAACTTCTTCACCGGTCCCGACAATTCTCTTATATCCGGGTTACACTGTACATATTAACTTCATATTTTATAAAACTTTCTTTCTTTTTCTGAACATCTCTGGTAATCATTCCCGTCCTCTCTTTGGCACTAATTTCCCTCTTGCCATTCTTTGAACCATTATACTTTTCCCCCAAGTTTTCTCCGACAGCCCCAACATACAAAACACAACAATCGTTTTAACTCTTTCAGAAAAATTAAATTCTCATAAACTTTTCTTCATTTCATATTACAATATTATGTCTTTTTCATTACTCTATTATATTTGCTATTATTTCTACGTCACATTTTCTCTTTTTTATGTCACCTAACTCTGATATATTATTTTTCTTATTCCATCTCTCTTGTCATCTCACACTCACTCACCCACTCATATCTTTCGATCATCTTCTGTTTCTCTTTTTCTCTTCTTGTATTTCTTTTACTTTCAATTTTCTTTTTTACTTGTCATTAAAATGCTTCTTTCTACTTCTCCTTGATTTCAATCTTTCTTTTTATCCCTCTCTTTCTCTTTCTCTGTCTGTCTGACTCTCTCATTCTTACGTTTTTCTAGCGCTAATTCCTCTTTTTTTATGTGTTACTTTTTTCTCTTTCTCTATTTGATTGCTGCTTTTTCTTTTTTTTTTCTTTCTTTTTCTTCCGCTTTCTCCTCATTCTTTCAATCCATCCTCTTACTTCTTTTTTTATCTGCGTTCCTTTTCTCTTTTCATTTTCCATTCATTGGTTTTCTCTTAATTTTCAATTTGCAGCTGCATTTGTTTTCCCTCCCCTTCTCTCCTCCCTCTTTCTCTCTCTCTCTCTCTTCAGTTCTTTATTTTAGATCTTGCTTTCCCTCTATCTCTTCCTGTCCGTTCTCTCTCTTTCTCTCTCTCTTTTTCATTTCTCATGTTTTCCTCTGCTTCATTTTATTTATTACGCACATATTTTATTTAATTTTTTTTTTTTTTTGGTTAATTTTTCTTTATATTTAAAAAATAAATCTAATGAACAAATTTGTGTTTTGCTGTTTTAGTACTTAAACCCTTCCATTAAGGTATGAAATATCAGAAAATTGGAAAGACAACACCTCCCATACACATCCGAGACTTCCTCTTGCTTCCTCCTCCTCCTCCTCCTCCTTCTCCTCTCTACTAGAGACAATAAGGAATGGAGTGACAGGTGGTTGGAGGAGGACAAGGCGGTGTTGCATGCATCGCGAATTTTTAGAAAAATTCCAGTATCTTGGGGAGTTGGAGGTGGTGTTGGAAGTTTATTTAATCTGAATTTGGAAAATATATTTGTGTTTTAATTTTAATTTTAAAAAGGTGGAACAGGAGAACCAACTGGGAATGACGAGGAGGCAGAAGACTACGGCTAAGAAAGAAAGACAGTCTTTAGTGATTGTGTTAAAGTTTCTCCATTTTTCGTTCTTAATGCTAAAATTTAGTAGCAGCAACAGGATAGACTATTATATCTTAAAAACGATTCTTATAGCAATTAGTAATAATAATTAATTCTATTTTTAGTAGTAGTTGTAATAATAATAATAATAATAATAATAATGTGGCAAGTATGGTGTGAAGATGATAGAAATATGGCATGGGCAAACTCCAGAATAAGAAACTATTTCTCACTTTTCTACCAATACAAGTATTTAGAATAGTAAATCCAATTGTTGGTATAGGTATTTACTAAAAGCTGGTAGACATTATTAAAAACGCTAGAGGACATTATTAAAAATTCAACTACTTCCCTATCGTCTGTACGAATATATATGTGAATTAGTGGTACACTCCCTCTCTTTCGTTAACCAATGTCAAAACTTTAGACGTCTTTAAAAGAAGATCATAATACATTCTGATTATATTGGTAGATGGTAACTGTACAATTTCCTTCTCCGTCTTAAACGCTTTTCTCATTCATTGTTTCGATTATTTCCACTTTTCTGTACGTTATCGCTGCTCATTGTTATGTCTTTTTTTAGCTCGTACTTCGGTTACATCTCCAGTAAATTATACTGTGTTTGTAGATCTTCTATGTGTCGTTTCACTTCAGGACATGGCCGATCAGACTCTCCACAATTTCTTAATCTTTGTAGCGCTTAATAACATTTGTATGTTTGCTATGACACCACCCCATTTCGCCAGTCAGTCACACAAACTTGTCAAGTAGGTGGTGCGCCTACTTCCCATCTACCGTTTACATTCGATATGTCACAACAAAAAATGATGAGATTGATCAATTAAACAGTAAAATTATGAACATACTTCCAGATATGTGATTCTTCTAAGAGATTCCTCTAAGAAACTCAGTAGCAAAAGTGAATTAAGTTAGTCTATGTCTCACGGATATTTTTTAAGTTCACTAAATATAATTACACAAGAAGGTAATGGATGACCAAAGATGCATTCCAAATCTAAGCAGAGTGTTAAGAGATAGCAAAATTTAGATAGTTACATGATATCTATCCCCCTGTATGGCAGCCAATACTGGAAAATCTCCACAAAGATGAAGAAGAGACTTGAAGCAGCAGAAATGTACTGAAAATTTCATGAACTGGACATGTGAGCAAGAAAATGGAAACTAAAAGAAACTTATACTAAACATCAGGAAGAGGCAGATGAAATTTTTGGAGCACGTAATGAGGTAGGAGGGCTTGCAAAACCTGATACTCACAGGGACAGATTGAGGGAAAGAGAAACAGAGGAAAACAGCGCGTAACATACTTGATGGGCTTGAGCAAATAGATGGTAGAACAAGCTTTGGGAGAAATAACAAAAGTACAAAACTTATTAAGAGCTACAAGGGACAGGAAGATGTGGAGGGCCATGATCACCTACATCGTGAAGGGACATGGCGCATAAAGAAGAAGAAGAAGAAGAAGTATAAGTAGCTCTTCACATCATCAGAATCAAGAATCTTAGACCCCAGATATGACAACTGCAATGGAACTCAGCACACCTGAGACTGTACTAACCGTTAAATTTATCGGTGTTGATTCTACAGGTGTATCTCTTTGGATTCAATAATCGGGCAAAAATGTGCCGTTCACTATAAAAAGATGTGCGCTGTGGTGCAGTGGATAACGGCTCAGAATGAGAAATCGGAGAACCGAGTTCGAATTCAAGTCGGGTTCGTTACATTCATTTACGTGAAAATATCTTTGTTATAAGCTGAATAGCTGGTTCTATAGCCTTGGTTAGCAACCAGTCTACCCCCAAAAGAAACGGCGACCTACTGCGGGAAAATATTCTGCCGAGTCAGTCATGAATCGAGAAAGATATGGTCGCCCAAGCGTGTATCGTGTCTGGTAATTAACTGACTGATAAAAAGACTCCAATTTCCCTTCAGGCTGGCTTTGGTTATGTCGGTAAATAAAGACTCAAAGACAAAGTTTTAATAGGTGCAGATTGAACCTTCCGAATCTAGTCTTCACGCACGGATAAATCTATATTGCTATCAGCAGAGTGATCGATTCAACAAACTTAAGGATATTTACAGATCAAAGAGATTTTAGTCTTACAGCCAGAAGGACAATTTCTAATCATGAAAACACAATCTTGAATAGGGACGTTGTTTATAGAGAAGTTACTTAAGTCAATGAGGCAAAGGTAATTACTTTCTAATTTTCTCAAAGACTATTTGTATTCAGTTAGGCGAAAATTGTAATGTTAATAAATGTAAAAACAGATTTTATTACTTTAAATCTTGACGGTGGCCTGTTCCCCATACAGAGGGACCTTTAGAATACTCTTATCAGTAGACTGTTACTTCCCTTGTTTTGCCATCGTGGTGGGGAGACTATTTAGTGTCCTGTCCAGGGCGCACGCCTGGACAGTGTTTTATCAGAGATTGGTGGTTGCCCACGCAGCACGTCTCCCTCTCCACGCCACTGATGTTGTCCAAGGGGAAGGTAGAGTCTAATACAGTATGACACCAGCGTCGTCTGAAGAGTTGCCAGAACGAAGTTGAGCATAACATCCGACTGTCTTAGGGACTCTGGTTCCGGGTTTGCCCTGAGGGTTTACACCCGCAGCTCTCCCCATGATTGGGTATGACCGAAACGAAGGAGTGGAGGTGGAAATCCTTCACTACTTTTTCCCTTGATTCTATATTTCAACTGAATATATTTTCTAATAAATGAAATATTTTAAATAGACAAACAATTAGAAAAAAACATCTTGCCGTCAAAGAAGAATGATGCGACTATTTTCTCGGCGAAAAACACGTTTTTCTCTAAACCCTAAAAAGTCAAATAAATATAAGAATTTATTGAACTTTTCTGAAATTATTCGGCAATATATAAAATTATTTTTTTCAAGAGCAGTAAATATATATTTACCGGGCCTCCCTACTATGTCAGGATGTGACAGAAGATCGATTTTTTACGTAAGGAACCTATGCATATATGTATGCATTTGCGCTAACGAGAAACATTGTCCAGTCTCCTCAACCTCAGTCATACTGGCGATGATATTACACCGACCCAAGAACAGATATTGTAAAAATATTTTAGGCTTGTCATTGAATTAAAATATGCGCAAACGCAAACGTACATATACACACAATTTGAATGTACTTCACTTTGATTACATGTGTATGGCTGTGAAACAAAATAAAAATTAACAAGATTTTCTTCCTTTTGTCTACAATAAGGGAGGTTTAGATAATTATTTCCCTGTTTTTATCTCGTGATTTTGATTTATTTATTTATTTCAATCTGTCGATATCAGTTTATTCAGCTCTATTTCCTATCTATCATTTATCAACATCAGTCTATTCACCTCCACGGAGTAAATGACCAGTTCATTAATTATGATAAAATTAAATTAGGTTAAGCTAAAAAAAAAATAATTAATACCCACAGAAAATAAATTCCGTTGGCACAAGTGAAATAAGGGAAAAACGGCATTATTCATTTCTCATCAAAAATTCCGTTAATTTATTATTCCATAACAAATATATAATCATAAAATTTCTGACTCCAGAAGAGGTGTTGGCTCTTCAATATTCTTGCGCCGTTTTTATCTCATGTCCAAAACTTAGACAAAGGCAATCCATTAATGACTAGTAGTTTGCTATCCTGGGCCGACCTTCGCATTCAGTAACATTTCTATTTTGGTGTTCTCACTTAATTCGTTGACTATTCGCATACGAGCTGTTCGATTCCAGGTGAAATTGTATATTATTCTTTTCTGTGTAGATCATGACAATCGACAGCTTACAGGCGCTGGTGAGCACACCTCAAAATTCTGATTTTCTCTCAAATCATGTTGGCTCTAGCTGTCAAACTTTTCACGTTTCTTCTCGCAGCCAAAAACCTAATATATATATTGATGTTGGCCATTATATTGCTTCTATATGATTTTGTAATAGAGTTTATACTGTTGCACTTGTCTCTTAAACACTTCCTCCCCCTCTCTCTCTCAAGTTACGCTCTGTAATGACCATAATAAACTGTTACTATTTGTATTGTAAGCCATGATATGACGAGGCCAATATATACTGTCGTATCCTTTACTAGTCGTTTTCCATAAGAGTAAAAACTGTTAAACGTTTTGCTTATTTTACTACGTGCGTTTTGGGGTATGTAGCGTTTACCACTTCGAAAAACGTGGAAAGTACTTTTTAACATCATGACGAATTCATCCACGGTCAACTAACATTCGTTTCAAACTTTAGATCTTTAACAACATAAACGTTAGTCTCCAGACTTCGATGTTCTTTCCTTGAAAACTGGCCAAAGTTGGTCGAAATCATTCATAACATGACACATAATTTCCACAATTTCCTTTTCAAGTTTCCCTTTCTGACATCCAACGAATTATTCAACACCAGGAGAAACTCACCAAAAGGTTTCACAGATATTGCTTATCTATCCTGTTCACTATAATATACATAAACAAGGGGAAGATTATATGCTATGTTTCAATATGTATACATACATACGAATATATATTAATTATTAAAATATATTTTTTTCTTGCCGCTTAGTCTCACTTAATTATGCCACTTTGTGTCATCCACATGTTTTAACTGACCTTTCAACTTAATGAATATTCATGAACGCTTGATAAACCAATGACATCCTTGCTCTTGTATATAAACACGCGCAACAAAATAAATATTTGCATTTTCCTTGATAAGAGGCCCTTCAGATGACAAAATGCGTTGGCTGAGAATAGCTTTTCATCTTGTCTTTTTATTTATTTTGTTTCTTCACAGATACACTCTATTTGAAAATATATATATATATATATATATATATATATATATATATATATATATATATATATATATATATATATATATGATAATGCAAAGCTCTTCTATGAATCGAGCACTCTGAGTCACTGGTGTGTTGTTTATTCAAAATAAATACGTAAAAATTCACTTTCCTCTCTGCTGAGAGCCGATAGCTTAGGGAGAGAAATCTCCGACTGATGCCAAATTCGATCCTGGCTTTGAGTCTAGCTACACTGAAGAGCTGTGATACAGCAAAACAGTGTGTCTGTGAATAACTATATATATATATATATATATATATATATATATATATTTAATGAAACGTGTATAAATATATATATATATATATATATATATATATATATATATACAAATTGTTTCGTTAAAAACGACTGACCTGACAATGTACTGCGGTTAAGATTTGTATTTAATTTCTGTCGTGTGCTTATCGTTTTTTTTTTTTACTATACTGGACATAAATTCTGTAGAAATTGTCCAAATGTTCTGTATGCCCGAACACTTTCGGCTATTCTTTTAGCCATTATCAAGGACGATTCCATTTTTACTTTTAACTGAATGTATGGATCTGATATGTATGTTTTTAGAGTTTTAGGAATGTTTTACTTTCCAAACACGGTCAGCGCTCAGAGATACAAAACATTTGGGCAATTTCTACATAATTTATGTCGTGAAAAGAAAAAGAATTATAAGAAAATATGAAAAAGTAAATTAAAAACTTAACTGCAGTACCTTATAAGACTTGTTTAAGGAAACACTTATAAAACAGGGATTGCTGCCCAAATGCACAATTATATATATATATAGAGAGGTGGGGTAGAATCCAGAGACACCCACGTACACACATACGCACACACAGACATGCATTAACACCACAAGACAAAAACGCGAGAGGTTTACGTGACCAATGAAAAACAAATACAGAACTAATTGTACAAAAACTTTCTCTTCTATAATTCAATTAAAAAATTCTGTTGAAGCTTAAATAAAATTGAAACATGTTACATTTATAAATGTTTCTTATTTATTTCTTATTCTATCAGATAGATAGATAGATAGATAGATAGATAGATAGATAGATAGATAGATAGATGTAGACAGGATTAGTGTGTTTAAGGAGATTTATATATTTTAAACTAAACAAAATTTTCCCTAACACACGAGAAGTGCTGAAGAGATTGCGTCCCACTTGACTTCTAAAATTCCGCCCCAGTGACTAAACATTGGAATTTTTTAAATACTTTCTTGCTTGGGCCAAGAATCTTTCAGCAGACTTGTAGAACTATTTGCGACAAAGATAGAAAAATTACAAAACATGTTATATATTTTTTATCAATGCTTAATTATCAAAAAATCATTTTATCTGTTAAGTGTCTCCTTCAAACTATCTTCAAATAAAAATATTTGCAGGATTAAACATTAATCATTTTATAACATGCTGAATGCATAAAAAAATTGTTAAATGTATCCCTAATATTTTTGGACATGTTCCAAAAATATTTACACTTACTCATGTAAACCGACTGGAGATTTTTACTTTATATGACGAGGTTTTCTCAGAACTATGATAAACAACAACTTAAAACGAATTCCTTTAAATGTTACATAGACAATCCTTTTTTTTTTTTAATCATATCACACCCATACAAGGCAGTAAAGCCACTAACACATTGTACTTGAGTTTGAAAAAATAAGGAAAAAGATATCCATTATTAAGGAGTGAGAACAATAGAAAAGTAATCAAGAGGACAGGAGATAACGATTGATATTGCATTTGAATCTTTGAAGATCATAGTTGGTCGAAAAGCATGGAACCGGAAGATAGTTCCACAAGAGAGAAAAGAAACGGTTATCATAGACTTAACGGTTAAATCTAACCAAGTCATCTGTGAATTAATGAGACCTTATCACCAATCTAGTACTACGCTTAAATGCATAAAATCTACGTAGGAGAGCAAAGAATTCATCCAAATTATTACCATGAAAGTATTTATAGAGAACGCACGGGAAAGCTACATTACGGAAGTGAGAAAGCGTCTGAAGCAGAGACACCAGGTCAGGATCAATAATATTACTGATTCTTTTTTGATACTTATCAAGAATCTTGAGATATACAACAAGAGCACCGGGCCATATGTAGCAACAATATTCAAGGCGTGGACGAATAAATATTTAAGATAAATTTAGGAGAGAAAATTGTCTAGCAGAAGACTGTGAATCAAATTTCTTAGCAGTAGAACAAGCAAATGATTCAATATAATCTTTCAACTCCATGTCAGCCGAGAATGTAAGCCTGAGAAGATGCAACGAGTCACTATGATGGAAGTTAGTATCAGCCATGGATGGAATCGATCAGGTGATTGATAGAGAGAAGTTTTGTTTCGGAGACGTTAAAATTAAAAAGCCAATTCTTGTCCCAGTTAAAAACAGACTGTAGGCCATGTTTTAGATCAGCTGCAAATTTGACCTTATCGAATAGATCAGACTTACTACCAAGACAGGAGAATATGGTTGCGTCATCAGCATAGATATCAAAAAGTAAAAAGTATTATCATTGATAATATTCATTATATTAATTTCATCACGTTTATTATTAGTACTTTGTTTCCCTAAAATTATATGCAATAAATTCAAATTATATATTTGTAAAATATATTTGTTTCATTAATATTTTTCTTTCGATAACTTCCGGTTGCACTTGTATGAATACAATCAGAATTTTTATATCCTAATTATTTCAGTAAGACGTTGGCACCTCGGCGTGGTGTAATGGTTAGCAAACTTGTCTCGCTAGATCAGTTACAACTGAAAAGTGATTTCGATCTTCACTGAATTCCCTATACTTTCGGCCTTATGCCACATCTAAGCTATGCTTGGAAAACACTATTTCGGTGAGACGTTTACAACACGCAGGTTTTACAGATCCTATAAAGTATATAATAAAGTGTTTATAGGCTCGTGTTCTTTTTTTTTCCCTATTAGTTTTCGTTTAATTTAATTCATAGCTTGTTTAACCAAAATAATACCGCATAAATATAGCCTAATCTGTACCATTTACTAATAATTTTACTAATTACTAACTTTTTCTTGATTTGCTCTGCTGAAATTAGGGTGCGTCTTATACACCCGTGCGTCTTATATGCCGTCAAATACGGTAATATGTATATACGTATATCAATACAGCAAGGGGTGAACTTGCTTGCTTAACGTGGTGGTCACTCGCTGGACCGTCATTAGCGACAAGGAAATCTACAATATAGTCGATGGAAGTAGGCGTAATCACACACAAATTGATATTTCCCAATATCATTATATGGTAATGGTGAGGAAAAAATTCGTTAGAAACAAAGAAAAGAGTACTAAACTGTTACGTAATATCAGTCCTCCTATGGCAATGAATGCTGGACAATCTCCTTTTTTGTTCTACAGAAGGATGCAGAAAATACAATGGCACAAAATTTTTAGCAAGAACGAATTTCTGGAGAATATGAAAATAAAAAGGACACTTATGATTAACATCAGGAAAATATAGTTGTAATTACTATGGCGCATAATGAGGAAAGAGGGCTTGGAAAATTTGATACTCACAGGACATAATGAAGGCAAAAGGGACAGAGGAATACAACATATAACCTACCTAACGCGCTTGTGTAAATGGATTTCGCAGCAAGCTTTACGAGAGATAACAAAAAGACAAAATTTATTAAAAAATACAGAGGACAGGAAATCGTGGAGAGACATGATCGCCAGCGCTCTGAAACATTCGGCATTCATTGACCGAATGATTAGCGTTACTGTAAATTTACAGAAACTTTTTCTTAAAACAGTTTATCAGGAAAAAAATTTTCCAATTCTATGAAATAATTTTGCTCTTTCTTATACTGATTGGAATTTCTTTTCCAGCCTTTTGTTTAAGATAGTGTAGAAAGTCAACATTATGTTATTAGTTTTCCTTCTAGGTACACATGCTATCTATTGTAGATAGTTCTTTCTATATATTGTGTCGAAAATATATATTTCGGGAAGAAAACAGGAATTTATTAAGGGCCGCCTGGCACAAGGCTATACATGCGAGGGTAATCGAATTCACTACTGCTTAATAGCTTCCACTAAGATTCATTCTTTATTTAAATGTGTCTACATGAAAATTGCATTTGTGGATTCAGATGAATACATATGCTGATGAATATATGTATTCAAAGTTTTCGCCTATA